TTAGGTATGGCATTTAATTGAATTATTAAATTTCAATCAAAAAAAAAAAAATGCATTTGTAATTTTTTGATAGTATCAGAAAATTGAAACAATAGTTCAAATTATCAATCAAAAACATTTTTTTTTTGTTTAAATTTTTTATTGTTTTGTTTGTTTTTTTATTTACAAATGTTTATTTTTTGAAATACAATAAAAAAAAATTAGAATAAATAATACTGCTAATATTTTTTTTTTTTTGGAAATAATACTTTTTCTAATTTGTGTTAATTTTAGAAATGACCAAATTATTTCCTGTAATACCACGTACTGGTCAAGTTATCAATCATAGATTTTCAAATTTTCCATCTATTTCATCTCATTATTCTCAACCAAAGGTATATTTACTTTCAACCAAAGGTATATTTACTTTCAACCAAAGGTATATTTACTTTCAACCAAAGGTATATTTACTTTCAATCAAACATATATTTATTTCATTCTGAAAATTTAAAAAAAAAATTTCTTTAAGTCTTTTTTTTTTTTTTTTTTTTTTGCGAAAAAATTTTCTGAAAATTAGAGGAAAAGAAATCTTTTTTTAGTAATATTTGAGAATGTATGAATAATTTGTAGGAAAATTTGAAGAAATTAGCAAAAATAGAAGAGCGATATGATCAATTAGCACGAATTGCTGGTAATACACAACAATCAAATCCAATGTTTGTAAAATTGATCAACAAGAATTTATCAAAAGGTCATAGTGTTGATCAGCAAGGTCAAATAAATTATCCACGTCAAGCAAATTGGGCGAATAACGACGAATGGCAATTAAATAAATCAAATTGGTGGTATTCAAATAATTCCGAATCACAATTAAAGTATAATACAGATGAAACGATGATTGATACAACAAATGAAATTTCAAAATTAAAAAAAATGGAAATAACGGAAGCTTCTTGTATTTCTAATAGTACAAAACAAAAATATCATTTTTTCAATGAATATTTACATTTTTGGAATTCAACATTGGAATCGATTAATTTAATTCAACAACAACAACAGCCATTGGATATTTTGCATATTTCAACGATTAATCGAAATTGTTCAACGGATCAAAAATTAACATTTTGTTGCGAAGAAATGATCAAAAATGTGGAAGATTTAACAAATCAGGATACAAATGTATGCAATAATTTGCAACAAACAAAAAAATGTCATAAATTTTGTCTTCAGACTGATCAGGAAAACGGATATTTCATTAATTCGACGGAATATTCATGTCAGGAAGATAATACATTAACAATTTCAACATTTGTTGATCGGATTCAAACGATTATTTATGATAAAATAAGTGCAATAATTTTTAGCCAAAATAAAAATGCTAACAATTTAGAATTTCAATTTTGGGCACAAAAAATGCTTCAAAATTTGAATGTTGCACTTGCATTAAATAAATACAATGGTACTACAATATTTTCCGATCAACAATTTAGCAATACGATTCGTTTGAGTCAATGGATTGAATTTTTGAAATTTAATACGACAATAAGTGATCAGGAAATAGCTTGGCAATTACTGAAACAATATCAACAACAATATGATGAGAATATTTTCAATTATTTGATTCGAATTTGTATGACAAATCAAGAGATTGCTGAAATTGAATGTACGGAACAATACTATTATAATGTATGCCGGTTCGATAAACCGGATGAATGCATGGATGATATTTTGAGCGTACAAAAATCAATCATTTGTCGACATTTTATCATAGATGATAAGAAAAGTGTAAAAATAACTGAACTATTCTGTGATTTATTAAATGAAACGATCATTTTTCGGGATTATCAACGTAAAGCATCGGAAAGTGCTACCGGTATTATAATTGTACAGTTTACTCGTACAACAATAATTCATTCTATTCCGGTTACTGCTACTACCATACAATTAAATCAATCTGATAAAAATGAAAATGTAAAAGGAAGGCAAAAAAATTTTCTAAATAATATAAAATTACAAACTACAGAAAATCAACAAACTAAAAATGCATATGAAAAAATAATTGAAAGACCATTTTTGGAATTTTCAAAAATTGAGAAAATTTTTTTAACAGAAACTAATCATACATTTACAACAATTAATTCTATACCAATGCAAAATATTAATGAAATTGAAAAAACAAATTTAACAGTATCAGAAGATTTATCAGAATTTGATAATAAAATATCAGAAATAGATGGAATTATTATAAAGTCAAATATGACAAATTCAACAGAAATGGAACAAAATTTTGATGATATTTTAAATGGTACAACAACAAATAAAACAAATTTGAATTATATGGAGAAAAGTAATGCAACAGTTAAAATTCAACTTCATACTTTTAATGGTTAGTTAATTTATGTATTTTTTGCTTTTTCTTTTTTTTTTTTATTTTTTTGGAAAATTAAAGTTAAATTACTAATTACTAATTCTTTTTATTTTAAACATTATTATATTATAAATTAATTTTTAGTAAAAGTTAAAATTTGAATTAATGTTTTAAAATAAAATTAATATGTAATATTGAAATTTTTTAAATATTACTAATTGCATTGAAAATATATGTTGATATCTGAGAATATAGATGGTAGTTATGAGAAGTCTTGAAAAATTGCACTCATTTCAATTATTTATAAATTTTAAGACTAATATTTTTGATTGCATTTTTTTTTAATGGAAGAATCGAGAAAAATCTCGAGAAAAATTAATTCTTCACTTCAAACTAACAATTTCATTGATATTTATGTAGAAAATTAAGATTTGATAAATTTGAATTAATTATATAAGCATGAAAATTAATATGGCTAACCTTTCGGTTAATGCTTTTAAAATTATAAAATTAAAGATAACTGCAAAAAGCATAACAAATTATCATTGATATATTCAAATTTACAAATCTTAATATTATCTTTATGTATGGTAAAAATATAATATTTTTAAAAATAAAAAAAAAAATATATTTTAAAAATATATTTATTAAAAATATATTTTAAAATAATATGTTAACAAAATTTCGGAAATTATAAATTGTGAACTACATTTCATTTTAATAATAATTTCAGATGTTGAAAGGAAAGCGATAACCACAAATCATAAAATAAATCTTTTAAAACGCAATAAACAACCACTTTGTAAGTTATTCGGTTTTGCAATTGTAACTTAAGTAACTTACTTAAGTAAGTTACTTAAGTAAAAAGAATACAATTAAGAATCAATTATCATTGTATTAAAGAGTGATAAAGTTTTATTTCTTTTTTTTTAAATTATAAACTTAGTGAATAAGTAAAAAATAAAAAAAAATACTTTATAGTATAGCAAATGAAATAACTTTTGGTAAAACAATTTTGAATAGAAGAATCTTAAGAGAGAGAGAGAGAGAGAGAGAGAGAGAGAGAAAGGAATTAAATAGTTTTGAATTTTTAGGAAAACTGATTATTTTTTTTTATCATTAATTGAATTTTTTTTTGTCATTTATTGCGCATATAGCAAAAAAATTCAACTTGGACACATTTTTGAAAAGTATTAAGAAGATTAGATAATACTAAAGTAGTAATACTAAAGCATAAAAGTATATTCAAAAGTTTCTGATAACAATTGAGGTTAGATAATTTGAAATACAAAACAAAACAAAGTTAATCTACGATATACGATAAAGGTAATAAAATAAAGATTAGATAATATGGATTATAGTACATTGAGATTTAAAGAAAAAAAGATCAACAACAAAGAGATCAGTTAATCTGAAATATGTAAAGAAGATCAAATGATTCAAAATAGAAAATAAAAGTTGAGTAATTTGAAATAGAAGAATAGAGAAATATGAAGTAATGAGCGGAGAAATGTTACACCTGTAACAATGTCTTAGGTAAATATAATGATTATTAGCAGTTATAGCAATTATTAGCAGTTATGGCGATTATTAGCAGTTATAGTGATTATTAACAGTTATAGTGATTATTAGCAGTTATAGTGATTATTAGCAATTATAGTGATTATTAGTAATTATAGTGATTATTTATAGTGATTAGCGATTATTAATAGTTATAGTGATTATTAACAGTTATAGTGATTATTCAGTAATTATAGTGATTATTCATTATTAGCAGTTATAGTGATTATTAACGATTATTAATAGTTATAGTGATTATTAACAGTTATAGTGATTATTAGCAGTTATAGTGATTATTAACAGTTATAGTGATTATTAGTAGTTGTATTGATTATTAGTAATTATAATGATCATTAACAGTTTTAGTGATTATTAGCAGTTATAATGATTATTAGTTAGTGATTATAATGATTATTAACAGTTATAGTGATTATCAGCAATTATAGTGATTATCATTTTGTAATTTAAAGAAGTGATTATTACAGGGAAACCATTTCAAATGGATTGCAGCATTGAAAAAGATGAATTCAATATAACTAATTGCAGTAATTGGGCAGATGCAGGTTACTGTCTTTCCAACAATGCTACACGATTTCTGTGGTGTCGTAAAACATGTCTTTGTACCGGACCACAACACTAAAATTCTCCTAAGCCAAAAATTTTCATCGAATTTAAGCTTAATAAAGAATATGTATTTTTGCTTATGTAAGAATTTCGGAAATGAAAAATCTGAAAATGTTTGAAAAAAAAGTTAATTTATTTCAGCTGCTATAGTTGTCATATTTTTAAATCAATAAATTTATTCAGATGTCTTATAAACATAACAAATTAAAATATTTGTTTGCAGTGAGCAAATTGGGCAAAAAAAAAAAGAAACATTACTTGCATTCTACAACATATCGTTTGCTAATGATGTATATATATGCAGTATGCAACTAAAACAAAAATAATGTTTGAATTTCTCACAAATCAATTTTTCATATCAATTTCTCTTATATTAACATCAATTTCTCACAAACAAATTCCAATTTAATTAGCCTGTAGATCAAGTAAACTGTATAAATTACATTTCAAATCAATTTTTTCCAGCAGATTAAAATTTACTAAAACTAGATCCAGCTTCATCATCGTTTTTAACTTCATCATCACTTTCCACATTCTCTTCGCTATTTGTAACGGAAGAATCATCAACTGTAAAGCCGTAAAACGAACAATTAATCACATAGTAATATTTGTCTTCTGCCTTACAATTCACATATTTCACAAATGGATATACTCCAGGTTCACGAAATACCAAAGCAGCGCTATTCCGCACCGGAGATACCCTTAGCACCTGAAATAAAAACAACATTAGCTGAACTATGTTAATACATGATTTAATTAAACGAAAAAGCCTGAAATTAATATGTAGATACTATTTTACAAGTAGGTCTACCATGTAAGATAGTATCTAACTCTTAATTACGCCATCAGCATGGCATTGGTGACACAGATGCAAATATATCTCACAAATTTCTAATAATAAATAATGAAATGAAATAGAACAGTAATATTTCCAAAAACAAACCTCTTCCTCCTCATTCTTGGTAATATAGCTTATGAAACCACCATGCTCATCATCCCACTCATTCGGAAATAAAAATAGCTAAAAAAATTTCAAACTTTATTTTACCATTGATCTTTCTTTCACTTCTAAGCGATGATGAATGACTTTCTTTCCTCTATCAAATCTTCATATATGAGAATCACACTGAAAAAAGTTAAAAAACAACAACAACAACAACAACAAAAAAACTACATTGAAATCTAAACAACAACCAAGCTGCTCCGTCTCATCAACAACTTCATCGTCGACCATCGTATAACAACTTTTTCCAACTCGATATACTGATGAGCAGCATTCAATATCTTAAAAATTTTTGGTAAAAGATGAAAAAAAACACTTCTAAAAAGATTTTAATAAATGTGCAATGGAAACTCATACCGTTATAAGATGTAATATTCTCGCACTTATTACCATCAATTTTTTTCTTTTTGATATCTGAAAAACAAAAAGCGATATTAGATCAAATTGAGAAAAGAATGATCTTAGAATGCATATTTATGCTTTATAAAAAAAAAAAATAACAAGCCTGGTTCACTATCGAAATCATTAGCAGAATTCATAGGTAGACCAGTCCACTGGGAAAGAAGTAGTGTCATTGCTTGAGATCGTACTAAACGTAAAAGAGAGAGCAGATTGCTATCTAATGGCAGTGCATATTCTCTTAAACGTTCCAATTTCCTATCAGAAAAAATTTTTTTTTTTCGGAAAAAATGAAATCATAAAAATTTAAAAATTTTAAGGAAATTAAATAATAAGAATTTATTATTTCCAATCGCCATTGTAAAAATAAAATACCTTTTATTAAGAGGTCCAATATGTTCGAAACAAGCAGTGTTTAATTCGTGTAAGGCTAATTCAAATTTATTCTCCTAAATATTGCATTATTGAACAGCAATAAGAAACAGTTCAAGAAAAATCCATTTAATTTAAAACCTCATCACATCACTACCATTGCAATTTTTCTCTTTTTCTCCTACATTTTACAATGTCAATTCGGAAATCATGTAGAAAAACTGTGAAACAATATGTAAAAATTTCTTTCATTGTTATAAATGTAACATGCGTTCAAATCTGGGATGAAAATTACTGCGGAAAATTGTTTTTAGAGACAGAAGTAAATTTTTTTCTAGCAAATACATTTATGCCAAACAGTAAGTAATGCATCTTTTATTTGGAAGACTAATTGTTTAGCATTTCTTGCCAGCTATACTTTTTATTTGAGATTTCTCACGAATTATCATTCAGACAAAACATAAGTGTCAAATGAACTGAATACCTATAAAAAATAACTTCATAGTCTGTCCCATTTACATATACACAGCATTGCGAGTAGTTTATCAGTGGAAAAATACTTACGCGGATAAAATTAAACAAACTGATTTCTGAATTCTCTTCGAAAATCGACTGAATTTTTGACTGTTGCGAGGGATCAATATATTCCGGATTAATCCACTCCAGCACCTCCTCATACTACAACTGTATTTCTCAGTAATTTGAACATTTAATATTTCGGTTCAAAAAATGCATTACATAGAAATTTATGCACCAAAATAAACCCAGTTCTTATTTTCCTTATTCTTCATCTCTTTTAGCACCCTTTTTATATATCTGCACTTTATATATCTAGAAAAATTATGTTTGATAATTTATTATCCCATTAAGAAAACTAATGATCCGCAATAAATTTCACATTCTAGGACATCGTGGTGTGAAGAGAATCCTGAGTTCAAAGTAAGTTATCTATGTTAGACAGTAAGACAATGAAATAATTTAAAATAAATTGGATTTCATCTGAAACCAGTACGTGATAAAGCATCATAAATGATTTTGTTTGAATTTAAGACCATGAATTTTATCTACGTGAGCTTATTAACTTACAGTAATATTCATGTGTGGTTTCAATTTTCCTTCGGAAACTGACTTTACTTTATCAGAAACGTTACATGCCGTATGATGGAACCAACCGTGTAGCGAAAGACGTCCTTTGTGTGAAAGTACCTAAATTAGTGGATTGAAAAAATTAAGAACATAGTAAAGAGATGGCAAATAAGTAGAACAAGATGAGCAAAGCGATGAAACAAAGTAAACTAAAATAAAGAAAAATGAAGCATGGAAGAAGCGAATACAGTAAATATGAAAACCAAAATAAAAAAAATCACATTCAAATGTATATAGCAAAAATATGTCAAAGAAATACCTCAGTAACCATATGCCATGAACGCTGTGATACTTCAAACATCACCAGCATATTTTCTGTTGGATTCATAATTTGGGCAACCGATATGGGATTGTTATTATCTAAATATAATAAACACATTTAACAATGCTAGATATTTGATTTAAAACGTGATACATTCCTGACGGGAGATAATTTAATATTAACCTCAAGCTGCTATGTCAAATGTCTCCGTCCAAGACCAAATTATTCTGATGTATAGAACTTTTAATAAGTGGGAGTGCATAAATTTTATAAGCGATACTTGATCTTCCTTTTTTCTTGCAAACTTTTGCATGACAATGCAAAGCAGCAATGCATGTGTGTGAATAAAGCTAATGGTAGATAAAGGATTAGCAAAATTTAAAAGTTAATAAAACACAGGAAGCACTGACTAACCGAATAATCTATAATTACAATTTAAGGATATGAAATTACAGTTTTTAATAACAACATAATTTTACCATCACAATCATACAGTAATAGCTGTCCACCATCAGTCTCCTTCCAATCCGATGTTAAATAAAGTGTAAAAGCGAATTTGCGTCCTTCACACTGATCATCATGTGGTAAGAGTAAGTCGGTATAAGCATAATTACTACTAGTTATTGCCACTTCATTATTTAGATCAACACCGGACACATTACGTAACCAATTTAGAACATCGGTTTTAAATAAATCCCTAAAACAGTAATGATACTAAAATTAGAATTCAATAATGAGTGCCAATAATTTCAAAATGTTTTGGAAAACTAGATTTCCCACAAATAATGAATCAAAAAACAAATTAAATGACATGCATGGTTTTCAAGAAAACATTCACTTAAAGTGATACTTATCATAAAATCATGCCACAGTAATAACTGGTCGCACATTGATATTTCTATAAATTTATAAAGAAAGTTCAACATTTCTCCAAGTACATTACAAAACTTTCTTTTTTCCATATAAATTTTGGGCTCTCACGCTCAGTAGGCAACATTTCGTCCATTTTTTCAAAAATTTGATGTTAGAAGTAAAAAAAATTCCTTGCCTGAATTTCGTCAGTGCTGGAAATTTATTAGCATCAAAGTTCGATAAATCAGCTGTTTGGTTCAATGAATAAAGGTCATTCTCCTTACGATCATACTGCACAGTTCCCAGTTCTGATCGAAGATCGGTTATGAACTCCTTACTGGTAAGAAAATCAGGAAGACAAAAATGCGGAAAAGGTTTCGAAAAGCTGCTATCACCTGCAAAAAAAGGAAGATTTTATTTCGCGCAATGAAATAAGGAATTAAAGATTATATCCAGAAAACAACTCAACGTTCAGTGTTTGAATTTTCCAAAAATAAAAACAAATATTTTAAGAATGCGGAAGTAATTTCAAGAGAAATTCATTAGCCAACATTTTTTTTCAAATAAAGTTTGAGATATGGCAAGGAATGAACAGCAGGAAGTGAAAAAACATATCAACGTGAGTGAGTCGCATATTAAGTTCCAATATTATAGTTTATAATAACAGCAATCGTTGTTACAAAATCCTGTATCTAAAATTTCTGTATGCCTTTGGAAAAAAGAGATCCTAAAATCTTGCACATTCTAACAGAAATGTTCGAAATTTAGATCTGCAAATGTTGTAAGCCCAACCTCATCATTCTTTTTGTGATACAAGATAGTATTTTCCTAATGTAAAATTTATTCAATTTTAAAAACCATATAATAAGCGAAAATGGAGCGAGAAAACGAACCGGATAGGGTCTTCCGAAATTCCGTAGTATATTCGTCGGTTAAATAAATCGAATTGATCATATCACACCACCCATTGATCCAAGTTTAAACCTCAATATTCAGATATTTTACTTTTTTTTTTTCGAAAATTTAAGACCCACAAAAGTAGCGTCGACTGGCCGCATTAAATCTAAATTAGGATGCGAAGTGCTTTTGCCGTAGTGTTTTTGTTTTTGTTGAGGGAGTGTGTGTGATTTTGAGGAAACAACAAAGATTGCTAAGATGCGGAAATATTGTGGCCAGGAGGTGGAAGGAAAGAAGAACAAGATTGTTTAGTGGAGAAATGGAGATTGAAATAAAAGAGTATAGATGTAGGGATGTGTAGAGAAATTGCTTGAGAGCTTTTATGTGGAGAAAAGAAAACATAATATGAGGAGACGACAGGGATGGAGATAATTAGGGATTGTAAAGCGGTAAATTATTGAGAATGTGAGAAAGAGAATGTAAGATTAGGATGGTTAGTGGTTGGGTGGAGTGAAATCCATCCTATATATAAATTTCTTTTTTTTGTTTTTTCAATTTAATGGACGAGGAAGTTTATTATTTGTGAGGAAGGAAGTGGAAGAGAAATGTTTATATTACGACTACTGTCACAGTATAAATTTTATTAAGCTGAATTTTTTGAATGAAATTAAAAATAGTTTTGAAAGAAAGAATTATATTTGTGTTGCAAATTTCTCATAATGATAAGGTTTGATTATTTTATCTATTTTGATCCATTTTCTTGATTTTATTATCTTAGCAATATTTTTGCACTTTTTGATTTGTTATAGTTTTAAATAATAATTAGGATAATTTATTTGATCAGAAAATATTTCCATTATTTATTTCCATTGTTCTATGTATTCTTATTGTTTTTTGTGAAAAAAAAAAAAAACATAGTTAAAGCGCTAATTTTTTAAAATTACATCGTATTTTCAATATTTTGTAAAATTTGCTAACAACTCATTAGTTGCTTTTTTATATAATTTCTTGTATATTATGAATTGATAGATAAGTGAGCTAGGGAAAGAGATAACTTTTATAATTTAAAATTTGCTTGAAATACCGACTATTCCGTTGCCTTTTTTTTTTTTCATTTTATTAATGAATTCCTGTGATACGTTTGAAACACGTACATACCCGTACACGTATTTATTGATGCTCACATACACATATACTGTGAATAAATTCTCAGATTCTACAGTCTTTTCTATTTAATATAAATTTAGTGTCACATATTACCGAATATTCGAGATATTTTCTTGTGATAATTTGGGTATCAAGCATATAAAACGATGTTCTGTTACTTAATGATAAATAAATAATACATAGTTTTGTGTTGATAATGAAATTGACGATTATAAGATGGTCCCGTAAATTTTTCTTATCATTCATCAAATATTTGTCTAATGTTTCGAGAGAAAGAAAAAGGTATGGAAAAGGGATAAGATGAGGGACATTCATTCGATGGGTTTCTAATAAAACTAAAATTTTATTTTGTTTTTTATGCATCAAGTTAACTTATTTAATAGCATGACAGTTGACGTAGACGCGGGACTGTGACCTTTTCACATACTAGATGTCAATTTTTTTTTTCTTTTCTTCTGATTAATGTCAAAAGGGAAATTTCGAAGGGAAATCTATTTGATTTCAAAAATGATAATATGGAAAGTTCTTTTTTTAGTTAAAAAAAAAAAAAAAACTCTCTGAATTTTATAAATTTTGTCGCTATATTAATATTTGAATTATTATATTTTGAAATAGCTAAGGAATAATATATAATTTACATTGGAAAGTTTATATAATGGAGTGTTTGCTAAAAATTTCGGAAAAAAAAGTATTTCAAAAAATCAAATTCCATCTTGACTACTTTATTCTTAATTCATTTTTCTGTCGTAAACCCGACTTTTGCTCATGATCGACCCCATTCAGCTTGCTATTTTCATAATGGAATAGTTTTAAATGGATTGCATAAATAGATGCTTTGAATTTGGTATAATAATTGTTGTGTTTGTTTTTTTTTTTTTTTTTTTCGTATGAAAATTATTCTGTTTGTTTTTGCATTCGTTTTTTTTTTTTTGGTTTTAGTTCTATGGTGGTTATAAGGGACAAATATCATTTCAGTTGTACACATTCATTGCAAAAATAGTGAAAGCCTCTCATTTTGGGTGTAAAAGTTAACCTCGTTGGTATTTATCATTTATTAATTCAATAAATATTATCCATTAAAAAGTTACTGATTCCATTCTATGAATTAAAAAAGTGATTTTTGATTAAGTAATCAAACTTTTGCTATGATTTATTTAAATTTAATTTAATTTACGTAATATGACAATATGTATTATGTAGTTAGATGATATATGAGATATCATTAAAAATATTCATAGCAATTTTTGTATTCTGAAAGAATAAGTTAATACTGCTAATTGTATTCCCGCATCGTTTGATGCATTTAAATGAATGATTTCCTTTAATTAAAAAAAGAAATGGTCCCCGTTGTTATTTCTAAATTGATCTAAAATTTGAAATATTTTCCTTTGTCATTTACTAAATTGATCTAAAATTTGAAACACTTTCAATTTTTGGATTGAAAGAATGAGTTTGAAACAAACAATTATGAATCATTTTTAAAACAATTTCTGAAAATGTTTGAAATTTCACTTTTTAAATTTCATTTAAATTATATAGCAACAAAATTTATAACTACTGAATTGGTTCTTCCGTTTCCTTCGTTCATTTTTTGAATTGTAATCAATGTTTCAGTTTTTTTTTTTTTTTTTAGACTATTGTATAAAGAATTGAAAACGACATATTTCATTTCTTTTCTTACAACTTTTCACTTTTAATTTTTTTTTCTTTTTGTTTTTTTGAAATTTGAAATTTTTTTGTTTTCGTTTTTTTTTTTTTTTTTTTGAAATTGCTTTCTTCTCAACCGATATAAATTTGTTTAGTTGTGCTTGGTTGTCTTCATCAATATCAAATCAGGATTGATAAATGAACTCTGAGAATAAAATGACAGTTTATTGTTAGTATTAAAAAATATATTTATAAATAAATCACTAATATAGCAATGATCAGTACACAGAAGTAATAAGTATAAAGCTCAAAGCTGACATTCTGTTCTATCATAGTATAAACAAGAAATGGATAAGATCAGTAGATTAACTAATGTAGTTTCTTCATAACAATATGAACTACAAAGTTTCCTTATCTATAATATTTATCTATATTTCTAAGTTTCAATAGTATTATATAAGTGGAAATCTTAGCAAGGAACAGGATGTAGAAATTGCATTCTAAATGTTTTGCCAAAAATTTGTTTTGTTTATAAAATTCCTGTTTTAATACTTATTTAATTATATCAGTTTGAAAATTGCTCTCTAAAAGCGTAATTATTTTTGTATCAGTCAAATAATTCTTAAATTGGACAATTTTCTTTCCATGTCATTCTTTTTGTTCAACAAAATTTCATACAAATTTTTTTTTTTTTCTTTTTTTTCTCCCCTTCTGCTATTTTTCTCTCACTTCAAATTCATTACTTTTTTTTTTTTCAATTTTCCTTTCGATTTCTTTCATTCAATAAATCCTCTATTTTTCTCATTTTCTTGCAACTTCTCGTATAAAATATCGGCACTTTTTTCTTTTTTATTCCGCGCCCAACATGTATTGAAAATTTTAAAGAAATAATGCGAAAAAATTGAGAATGGGAAATACGAGAACGATTATCATACTCTGACCATGAGTTGATTTTTATTTTAAGATTTTTGATTGGAAACTGATCATAAGTTGCCATTTCTTAACACATACTTATATTTTAATATTTTTGTGTTTCATTTAATATTTGTGGCAGTTGGATAACTGTTTTCAAAATTGGTATCAGTATTGATTTGTTATAAATATTGATTGGATTTAATGATAGTTGAACTACCAAATGGACACATGGACACATTTCCGTAGTCTTTATGCTAGTCAAAAATATAATTATTAGAAAGGAGTGAAGAGTAACTGTTCCATAATCTGATAAAATTGGAATTTGAACTGGTTGATAAATTCCATTATTAAATCACTGATAAGCTATCAACATAGTTTTGATTGATGAATATCTAAAAAAAAAAAAAAAAAAAAAAGAGCGAAGAATTGGAAATGTGAAGGACGATTATCATCTTGTGATTATCGGTTTTTATTTTAAGACTTTTGATAGGAAAACCGATGAAAAGTTCCCATTTCTTAAAATATGAAATTTTTTTCTTATCGAAAATCTAACATGCTATGTAACAAAATTTTGTTAGAATTTTTGCTCCTTTTTCACGAAATGATTTTTGTTGGTTTTTTCAATCATTTTTTTGTTTGTCCGATTGTTAAACCATTACGCAAAATATTTCATTTTCCATTTTATGATTAAGTTAGTTTTAAATTTTGCTTGATATATGAATGATGATGTTTCATTTCAATACTGCAGTATAATGTTGCATAATGATTAAGTAGGATGGTTGTTTTGATGTAGCTGTAGTTATGGTTATATCGATTAGAAAAATAATCAAATAGATGATGTCGGGCAATTTTTTAACAGTATGTTTTGTTGTTTGTTGGTTGTTGTTTGTTGTTGTTGTCGTAACTTCATAATTCGACAAAGCTTTATTGTTCGATACATATGTAATAGGAAAGAAATTTACGATACACATATGTAATAAAAGGAAAGAAATGAACAAAATAATATTAAATTACACTAACTGTTCATTAATTGTCCAATAAATTGTCGTACTTCCGTTCTACCACCACTATTATTGTTGCTATTTGTGACATCGTTTATTGAAATTGAAATGACTGCGTTAAGTGCTGAAATGAACTAAAACTAAAACCTCTAAATGATGTTTCAACTCCTTCTGTACAATGAGCATTGGCTTACAACAAATTGAGAGCTATCAGATGATCTTTACTCTTTATATAGTGGGGAGCTGGTTTATAACGTTTGTTACAATGGTGACTGTCAAAGTGGAACATCTCTACAATATTTTGACATTACAAGTGAGATTAATTTA